CCCCAGCATAGGCTGGAGTCCTGGGGCAGCAGCCAGGAGCCGTGGCTGGGCCAGCTTGCCTCCTCCACACAGATCTGAATCACCCCAGGCACCCTCTGCTCCTACATGTCCCACGTGCCCCAGGACAAACTCCAGCTGTGGCTGGATGTGCACCTGGGAAATGTCTTTCCAACTCCGCACCTGCTGTGTGGGGACTTGAGACAGTGGCATGAGCTCAAGGACAGTGCAGCACAGCCAGGCAGGGTGCTTTGGGGTGGGACAGGTAGCTCACTGGGGACCAGGCTGACGGGCAGTGCCCAGGCCCGGGTCCGGGTCCTAGATAGGCTCCGGTCAGCGCACCCAGCTAGCCGCCTTCTTCATGGCCTCAGGCACCACCAGCCAGGAGTAGGATGTGGACTGGATCCTGGACCAGCTCTCCCGTGGAGCCTCCTTGGTGAGCTCAGGACTGGCCGGTGGCCCCCATGTGGCAGGTGTTCTGCGCATGGTCTGAAGCCTGCGCAGCCAGGGCCCCTGGGGTGACTCGCCCCTCCCTCCCACCCCCAGACTTGACCTGTGCCCTGCTTGGCACCATAACCCCTCATGGCTGGTCACTTCTCAAGAACCTGCCATACCTACAAGGACCTCACTGCACTTCAGGACAGCTTCCATGTGACGAACCTTTGGTAGGGCTGGCCCATGTGGCCATCAGAGGGTGACACTGCTTCCTCACTGTTCCCTGGCTCTTAGCACACGCCCGCCTCCCAGCACCCTTGCAGTCAGGATGGCCTCTGGGAGCAGTGGCCCAGATTGGGGTCCCAAAGGCCCCAGGGTGCGTGGGCAGTTGGGGCTGCCCAGGGTGGAGGTGGCCCCAGGTCAGAAGGGGAACCGACGCAGAGATGGAGAGACCAGCCTGGACCTCCGGGAATTGTGGCCTGCAGCTCTTCCGGGTCAGAGTCAGGGAGGCACGTCATCCCAGACGCGGGTGTAGTGAACCCCCGTGGGGTCTTCTGTTTTGCAGAGTGGCTCCCTGCCCCCCGTCTCTACCAAGGCAGCTGGCTCCTACCTCCCAGGCCCCCAGCATGAGGAAGACATCATGTCCTACAGAGCATGGGACACCCTGTCCCCTCACCTACTCCTGACTCTACAGCCCAAGGAACGGGAGTTGGAGGCTGTCCTCCAAGGAGACTGTGGGGGCAGGAGGGAGGGGACCCGGTGGGAGGTGTCTTCTGAAGAGGGCCCATGACCTCACCAGCTGGAACCTCTCTAGGCTGGGCTCTGGGGCCCAGTGCTCAGGGTGACCCTCCCACAGGCAGCAGGCCAGGCCGGGTTCCGGAACCCCGATCTTGTCTTGGGTGCTGCCCTGAGCGATCCCTGCCCCAGCTCCGTGGAGCACCTTGCAGGGTCCTTCCGGGGCCGCGGGGGCTGGCTGACAGGTGGCAGCATCAGAGGGGCCACACCCAGGGCCTCGGGGGTCCACGGAGCCCGGGAGGCGGGAGGCAGCTCAGACATGGCAGCAGGGCAGGGACGACACTGTGTCCCCAGAAAGGATTCGGGACATGGGCAGAGGATCACGTGCTGCTGGGCGTCAGTGGGCCAGACATGCACGTGGACACGTGGTGACCTCAACCCCAGGGAGGTCTGGGGGAGCGGCCCTTTCAGCGTCCTCCCCGGACCCCCCCCCCCCCCGCCCTGTCCCCCAGGAGCAGGCCTCTCATTAGCGGCTAATTGCTGCCCGCTGTCTCCCGGGGCTGCCACAGGCTCACACCTGTTGACAAGCCGTGGGGCCACAGCGGGAGGCGCTAATGATGCACTCATTGCCCGTGGTGGTTTTCTGCAGCAAATACAGGGCAGCCCGGCTCAGCCCAGGGAGCGCTCGGCTTCCCGGGGAGTCAGGCTGCACCTGCACCGGCCGGGAGGGCTCAGACGGGGCACCCGGATCCTGCACCGGAACCTGCTTGTTCTCCCTGGATGCTGAGAAAGGGGCACGGGGGGCACCGCACGTGGGCCCTTCCCTACTGTCCCTCCAGGGCCGCAGCCTCACAGAGTGGAAGGGGTGAGCAGCTGTGCCCACACTCCCCCAGACAGGGGAGGACGACCCCCATGACCCACAGGGACCTAGGCTGATTTACCCAGAAACTCCCGAGCATGCAGACCCTCACCTGGCAGGGACACCCCCAGCTGGCCACCCACACTTTACGAAAAGCACGGGAGCACATTCAAGAGGCTGGACATTCTTGTCGGGGCATGAGGCCGGTCTTGACCTTCACGACTCACCCTGAACGGCCAACTACTGACCTCCCTCCCAGGCAGGGGCCCTGCTGCAGCCGGAAGCCCCTCCCGTGCCCGCCCATGGTCGGATACGTGGGCCCCTAGGCCGCTCCTGCACACATCCTTCCTCCTACACCCGGCAGGGCAGGGGGAGCAAGCCCCACTTCTACTTCCCAACGTTTTGCAGACGCCTTGGTATACAACACAGCAGCACTGGACGATGTAGTAATTTTTTGAAATCACATGTTTAAGAAATTTTTTAAAAAATTTTTTATTGATTTAAGCAATTTCCACACCCAGCATGGGCTCGAACTCATGACTCCAAGATCAAGAATTGCAGGCTCTTCCACCGGAACCAGAACAGGAGCCCCTGAGCATTTTTTTTTTGGAAGGACAAAACACCTTTTACTTTTCCCAACCCTGGATCCTTGCTGCCTGCCTGCAAGACACCTGCTGGCCCAAGCCTGGCTGTCGGACAGCCTAGCCCGTGTGGTCCTTCCCAGCCCTGCACCTGGGCCAGCGCAGTCCACACAGTCCACAGACCTGGGGAGATGCATCCCATTATGCAGCAGACCCTGAGGATCCCACAAAAACTTGGACATGAGGGGGACGCCGGGGTGGCTCAGCAGCTGAGCGTCTGCCTTCGGCTCATGGCGTGATCCCAGGGTCCTGCGATCGAGTCCCCCAGCAGGCTCCCTGCAGGGAGCCTGCCTCTCCCTCTGTCTCCCCATGAATAAAAAAATCTTTAAAAAAAAAATCTTGGACATGAGGGCTGTGGTGGGTTGAATGGTGCCCTCCAAATAACGTGTCCCCCAAACCTGTAAATGAAACCTCATGTGGAAATAGGGTCCTTGCAGATGTCATCAAGGACGTCAGGACGAGATCATGCTGGTAGGAGTCTGGGCCCTGAATCCAGTGACAGGAGGGAGGAGGAGATATGCGGGAGCCCTGCGACGGAGCAGCGGAGGGCTGCCCGGGGCCACCAGCAGCCGCACCAGGCAGGAAGGGGCCCCCGGAAGGGCCTGCGGACACCATGGCCTTGGCCTCGTGGCCTCAGCAGCTCTGAGAGGATAAACCTCTGTGGTCGTAAACCCCAGCTGCTGTCCTCCGTTGCAGCAGCACTGGACACTGACACGGGGCCGGTCCCTCCCATGGCAACACTGATGGCAGCCTGCACGCGGGGGCAGCTGCATGCACCTCAGTGGAACCGTGCCCGTGCCCACCCGGAGCTCCGGTGGCCAGCCTTGGGCAAAGGGGGTCCTGTGGGCACACCCGGAGTGGACGCCCAGGTCCACGTCTGTCCCAGTGCAAGGAGCAGGGCGCCCACGCCCCGTCGCAGCGGCCCAGGCTGGCCACGGGCCCCGTTTCCCCCCGCGTGTAAACCCTGGCATTGCACACGGGAAACATACGGTAAATACTCACTAATGATGATGATGAAACAAGCTGCAGGTGTGAGAGCAGGTGCCTAGAGGAGGCAGGCACGGGGTTGTCTCCAGGGCCCTCGTGTGTGTGTGTGTGTGTGTGTGTGTGTGTGTGTGTGTGTGTGTGTGATGCCAGGACCTCCAGTCAGAGTTCCTGACCCAGACACTGTCTCCGGGGACGGGGGCCCTGAGGCTTCGAAACCGGGTAGACCTGGGCGCACGCACTGTCCCCACTCTTGGGGTCACCTTGGGGCAGTGGATTTATGTTGATTCAGACTCATGTACCATACCATCCACCCACTAAAATGTGCAATTCAGTAGTTTTTGATACACTATTAGTTTATACGTTACATTATTATATACACAAAAGAATGTGCCATAGGACCTGTGTAAGCACACGACTTGCAGGCATTCGTTGCGTTCAGTGTGGCGCAACCACTCCTGCTATTTCCAACACTTTCCATCGTGGCACAGCGAAGCCTCCTGCACGGCCCCTGGCAACCTTGAAGCTACTTAGCATCTCCGTGGAGTTCCAGGTTCTGCGCACGGCCTAGGAACGGAACCCTACAACATGTGGCTTCTCTCACTGAGCAATCAGGTCCTCAGGGGTCAGCCCCACGGCAGCAGCAGTCAGTACCTCGGCCTACTCTGCAGCTGCGCACTGATCGTTGTGTGCCTGGACCACAACTGGCCTACCCACCCGGCTGCTGACGACACTTGGGCCGTTCCCATCTGTCATCCACCTGGTTTGCTCCTACAGACTTGGGTTCCAGGGGAAGGAGAGTGAAGCCCGCCCTGCAGGGACGCGGCCCCGCAGGGCCCCGCCAGCCTCCGCCAGAGCCCCTCCCGGGGAAATCATCGCCGTCATTCCCATCTGAACTGTCCTCATCCTGCCCCCATCTCCATGGCACCTGCTACTCTTCTCACTTTTATTTTGTAAACCTGCTCGGGGGCATTTCAGTGAAGCGGGTTGTTTCGTGCTCGCCTACTTCTAAGAACCGCTTGCGCTCGTTCAGACCTCGGGCATCCTGTCTGAGACCTCGGTCAGGCATCGTGAGGACGGGGATGGCTGGGGCCGGAAAGCCCCCACCCCAGGGCCGCTGCTGATCAGGCAAGGCCTCCGGGGCCGCACACCTGGCTGGCAGGTGAGCCCCGGGGCAGGTCCGCGCGGCGCGGGGAAGGCGGCCGGCTTGTCCGCGGGGCTGCATCCGCCGGCAGGGGGCGCGCGCCCTGCTCCAGGAGCCCGGCCGAGGGGACAGGCGCGCATGCGCCGCGCGGGGCGCTTTCCGGCAGCGTGGCGGAACAAGCCGCCGTTTCGCGGCGTTTGACGACCTCCGTGCCCCGCGCCCGGCGGCAGGCTTGGCGCCATGGCGTCGCCCTTCAGCGGGGTGTTGCAGCTGACGGACCTGGATGACTTCATCGGGCCGTCCCAGGTGCGCCGGGAGGGGGACCCAGGGAGCCCCGCCGCGTCCCCGGCGCTCCTAGGGGAGAGGGGGGCCGAGGCCGCCGGGCGGTCGGGTTCGTGACGCTGCCCGCGGGGCGCCCGCGCGGGGGACGTGCCGAGGCCGGGGGCTGTGCGGGCGGGGGAGGGCGGAGGGGTTGGGGAGGGGGGAGGCGGGGGGAGGGGGGCAAGGGGAGGGGGGTCGGGAGGAGGGGGGAGGCAGGGGGGCTCAGGTCCCGGCGCGGGCAGGCGCCGATCTCCAGCCAGAGATGCGCACGCGGCCCCTGGGCGTCCTGAGAACGATGAGGTCCAGGTGAGGTCAGAGATGAGGTCAGAGCCCGGGGCGCGCGGGGGGCTGTTGTCCCCGTCCCCGTGCGACTGAGCCGCGGTGAGCACCCCGGTGCCCCCAGCCCCCCGACTGCCGTCTCCTCCCGGAGCAGGACTGCATCAAGCCCGTGAAGGTGGACAGGCGGCCCGGAAGCGAAGTGGCCAAGATCCACATCGAGGACGACGGGAGTTACTTCCAGGTCAGTCCAGTGAGTTCCAGCCCAGGTGACCAAAAGCGCGATTTTGCTGCTCTTTCCAGTGAGGAGCACGAGGATCGTGGGGCCTTCCGCAGTGGTCGGATTCCCTGTCATCAAGGCCAGGAGGATGTTGCTCGTAGTGACGCTGCTCTTTAGGTGGTTACGAGGACTCCCAAGAATGGCCGTGCCATCCCGGGGACCACAGGCATGGGCGCACCTGGCACGGGAACTCCTCCAGGCAGGGGAGGAGCCTCCAGTGGCACATGGCAGGGCTGGGGGGACAAGGATCAGGCATTCACAGGGAGTGAGCAGGTCCCCTGCTCAGGCCAGGAGAGTGACCCTGCAGCACCCGCAGCTCCTGCCCAAGCCAGCACAGCCCAGGGGAATGCCACCTTGGGGTGCGGTAGGGCCCACCTATGAAGGGGTCCAGGAGAGGTGCGGCCCTGCTGTCCCAAGCAGCAGTGGTTGATTTGGAAAGAAGTTGGGAAGCTTATTCTCTTGGCACGAGATCAAAGCCTGAGCCTTTAGGCCCATCTAACTCGAAAGTTAGGGTACTTTCAGTCCTGAGATCAAATTGGGATTTTGGTGTGAAGCGTAGCCCTGATGAGCTGGGCTGGAAGGGAGACCCCGTCTCCTCAGCCCCCGGGTCCCATTCTGGGCCCCTGCAGCTCGCCTGGCCCTGGCTCACACTCTTCTGAGCGTATAGGGAAGTACAGGGGCTCAGCTGGGTCGCTGGCACCTGGGGAAGTGGCAGGGGGTCAGCCAGGACACCGGCGCCCACACCAGGTTCTGCATCTGTTTGCCATCTGGCTGTTGCCGCCCGTGTGTCTGTTCCCTCCGGGGCTGCTGCTCTTCGCTGAGCAGAGCACCACCTCTCTCTGCCCTCTCTGCCTTCATCTCAGCCTTGCCTTTCTCATCCTGCTGTTGGCCTCTGGCCTTTGACGTTTTCCCGTCTTCACAGCTGCACGAGTGCAGACTAGGAACCTCTGTGCGTGAGTGCAGACAAGTCACCTGCTTCTCTGCAGCTTTAACACCCACATTCCACCCGACAGGCTACAGGCCTCATTAATATGATTCTGATGTGCCAGCTGATCCTGTACCAAAGATAGAATTTGATGGAGCTAATTAAGTCTAGAATATGTATGGAACGTATACATTTCTGTAACAGATCTTTAATCTTTAAAAATCCCGTGGCATTCAAAGCCAGCCAACTTCCGTGTTGGTTGTCAGAGTTGTGAGCCAGAGAATAAAGGTTTCCTATAGGTTCTGTCATCGTGAGAGCTCATGTCCTTGTGGCTGCAGGACGGAGGGACCCAGAGGCTGGAGAAGGCAAAGATCTCGCTGGATGACTGCCTGGCATGCAGTGGCTGTGTCACCTCGGCGGAGACCGTGCTCATCACTCAGCAAAGCCACGAGGAGCTGCGGAAGGTCCTAGATGCCAACAAGGTAAGTGGTGGGCGGTCTCAGAGACTTCTTTAACTTGACATCAACCCCCGTATCCTTAGCTGTTGCCTTCAAGGGCAGCTAATCTCCAGGTGACTCCCACATTTTTAAAGTGTCATCAGCGGGATCTCAGTACTTCAGCGCTACGCTAAAGTGTTGGGCCCTCCACGTGCCTAAACATGACACATCCTGACGGAGATAGGGCACGCTGTCTCCAGCACCAGACCACGGGGACTCCGTGTGAAACACACCAAGTGAGCACGTGCCCCTTGCTTTGCAGACGGCAGCCCCGGGGCAGCAGAGGCTGGTTGTGGTTTCTGTCTCGCCCCAATCCAGAGCTTCGCTGGCTGCAAGATTTCAGCTGAGCCCTACGGACACTGCCAGGAAGCTGACCGCATTCTTCAAGAAGATCGGTAGGCACCAAACGTCGTGTGAGTGCTGTAGCTCAGCGTGGGGGGGTCCCGTGAGGGGGCTCCTCAGGCCTCCGAGTCCCTGAATCCAGACACTCCAGACTGTTCGGAGTTGACTTCAGCCCGAAGTTTCGGTTTGACAAACGGGAGCTGTGCCTTAGCGGGGAGCCCCCTGAGTCCTCTCTGTGCTCTTCCAACCTGGAACTCACCCACTCTTCTCATTGGTTTTACATGATCATCATCAAGGCCCGTTTCCCAGGTCCCCATAAGGTTGTAGCTCAGATCCACTTTGGGTGACTTCTGTGTGTCAGGAGCTGGGCTGGGAGGTCGTGGGCTGGGCACTGCAAAGGGTGTGGCTTGGTTCTGGGCTGTCACCGTGGGTGCAGCTGGGGCCATCCCGCCATCCTTCGTGGGGGTGAGGTGGTGCTTGCCTTGCAGGTGTGCACTATGTGTTTGATACCGCCTTCTCGAGGAACTTCAGTCTCCTGGAGAGCCAGCGCGAGTTTGTGCAGCGGTTCCGAGAACAGGCCAACTCCACGCAGGCCTTGCCTGTGCTCACGTCCGTCTGCCCAGGTGTGTTCACGCTGCAGGCCGCGGGTAACAGGAATGCTCGGTGCGGCAGCGTAGGCTTCTGGTCTCCTCGGCGGGGGAGCCACCTTGAGAGTCCCTTAGCTCCCCAGACAGCAATCTCACAGATGCCAGCAGCCAGTGAGTGACAGCAGAGCAGGGGCGGTCTGGGACCCTAGCCCCTTGAACGAGTAGCTCCACCCCAAGAGCATCATGTCACTCACTGGCTGGTGAGACGGCCCTTTTGTTTCCTGTGTCTACCACAGGCTGGATCTGCTATGCTGAGAAGACGCACGGGAACTTCCTCATCCCTTACCTCAGCACTGCCCGGTCCCCACAGCAGGTCATGGGCTCCCTGGTCAAGGACTTCTTTGCCCAGCAGCAGGTAACAGGAATGTTCCATCTGTGAACCATTCACTGCCATTGTCCTGAAAGATGAGCCAAGATCTACAATGTCCACAGGCCCCTACAAAGAAGCTCACTCACGTCCTGGCCGCTGGCCGGCTGTGTCACCCCCACCTCACCTGATGGGGCCCCCTTTTACTGCTGGGTCAGGCAGCGATTCCACATTTCCACATTTCTTGGCAGCATTTGACCCCCGACAGGATCTACCATGTGACGGTAATGCCGTGCTATGACAAAAAGCTGGAAGCTTCCAGACCAGACTTTTTCAACCAGGAGCACCAGACGCGTGACGTGGATTGTGTCGTCACCACAGGTGTGGGTCCTGCTGCCCTGAGTCCAGGGTATGGATGGCATTGCCTGGGTTCTGCCCACAGGCCCTGGCTGAAGCTGCCATACCCTGTGCATGAGGCACCCCCCGCCCTCTCCTCGGAGCCAGGTCCTACTTCACAGCTTCACAGCTTTACAGCTGTTCCATGATCTTGGTGACCTGTGATCAATGGGCTCCCCTCACCCCCCGCACTACCTGAGTGTTTGCCCTAAAACAGTCTGCGTGGGAGGTGTGCCAAGATTCTTGTCAACTGCTCTGACTCGTGGGTCTCCTCATTTCTGAGTTGAGCAGCCTCAGAGAGTCTCCCAGGTGCTTAAAATACAGAGAAATAAACGCTCAGGAGCCCGGACAGCGGTGGGGAAAGGCTTCCTGCATGAACGTGGCCCTGTCCACCTGTGGGGAGCCGTGACCACACTGCCGCGGGCGCACCTCGGGGACGGGCCTGCCCACCCCCTGCCGTGCCACCGTGAGGGTGGGCCGCAGGTCTGGGGAGCAGGCTGGCTCTTCTGAGGGTCTTCAGAAGTAGAGTCCTTCCTCGCCTCTGTGGCCAGGCTCCTCCTCCACCCTCAGGCCAGGAGGTGGGCGTTTGGGTGTCCAGAGCCAAAGCACAGGTTGCAGACGATGTGAGTTTCCTCAGTGTTTTTTTGTGGGGATCTCAGCTGAAGCGCGTCTGTGCTGGGGTCTTGTAGGAGAAGTGTTCAAGTTGCTGGAGGAAGAAGGGGTGTCACTCTCAGAACTGGAGCCAGCCCCCCTGGACAGCCTGTAAGCATCTCCTGCGGCAGAAGGGAGCGTGTAGTCTGGCGTCAAGGTGCTCGTGACGTTGGTGGGGGGTTGCAGGTGTCCTGGCAAGCAGCAGAAGTGAGAACATGGGGTAGGCCCCGTCCCCTTCCTCTCCTCCGCCATGGCTTCCTTCTGGGTGATTCCACCTCTGCCCTGTGACTTGTCCACAGAAGTGGTAAAGTTCACGAGATGGCCAGTGGCCACCTAACTGATGGTCATCGGAGCTGACTCCAACTTGACACAGGTCTGAGCTCCCCAAACAGGTTACTTGACAGCAGGACAGTCATCCTCCCACCTGAGCTACCTCCTGACACCCAGAAAAGGCCCCCAGGTCTTGGACTCTTTTCCCTCAAGTGTGAGAGACAAAGGTTACCCGAAACCTCCATGGACAGTAGCCCTGCTGCCACCTGAAGCTGTTCCTTGCTCCCCAGGTGCAGCAGCGTGTCTGCCCAAGAACCCAGCAGCCATCGGGGTGGGGGCTCCGGGGGCTACCTGGAGCACGTGTTCCAGCATGCAGCCCGGGAGCTCTTTGGAATCCACGTGGATGAGGTCACCTACAGACCCCTGAGGTCAGTGGGAAGGGCTGGCGCTTGGGCTGTGGTGGCAAGGTGGTGCGCCTGGCACAGGGGATGTCCCGACACAATGCCCCACCCCGGGGCCATCCTCGGGAGGCTGGGGGCTCCCATCCTAAAGATGAGGAAACTTAGCAGAAGTGAGCTTTCCACCCTCTCCTTCCTCACTATCCACCGAAGAGCCGGGTAGCTCGACCAACGTGCCTGCAGGGGTGGGAACGGGAGGGAGCCCAAGCTGTGCTTCCCTCAGGAACAAGGACTTCCAGGAGGTGACCCTGGAGAAGGAGGGCCGCGTCCTGCTGCACTTTGCCGCAGCCTACGGCTTCCGCAACATCCAGAATTTGGTGCAGAAGCTCAAGCGAGGGCGCTGCCCGTACCATTACGTGGAGGTCATGGCCTGCCCCGCAGGTAGCTGTGGCATGGCCTGCTCCTCAGAGACCGCGTGGGGCCCTTACCAGTACCAGGGCTGGGGCAGTGTCCCGCCAGGGCAGGAGGGGTGGAGGAAGCCTGGTCGTCTCCCCCACCTGGGTGGTCGGGGGGCGCAGGACAGCCGGCGTTGGGAAGTGGCATGCCGTGCCCCCGAGCACAGGTGTCCTCCTATAACTGCTCTCACCTGTCTTGTCTCCTCCAGGCTGCTTGAACGGCGGAGGCCAGCTCAAGGCCCCCGACGTGCCCAGCAAGGAGCTTCTCCAGCAGGTTGAGATGCTGTACGGCATGGTTAGGACGGAGGTGCCAGAGGACGTGCCTGGCGTCCAGGAACTGTATAGGAGCTGGCTGCAGGGTGAAGGCTCAGAGCAGGCTGGCCGCCTGCTGCACACAAGCTACCATGCGGTGGAGAAGGCCAGCTCCGGCCTCAGCATCAGGTGGTAGGAGGCCTCCTCACAGGTCTGCTGGGCCTACCACAGCCAGTCCTGGGACCCCAGGGATCGCCCCCAAAACACCGAGTGGCAGGGATGTGTTGAAACCCACACAGAAACAGGACTTGGACCCATAGCCAGTGAAGGTGACCTCAAGCCTGCACTCACCCAGACTCCCCATGGCAGGAGGCCCGAGGTTCCCCAAGGTCCCAGAACCTCCCCGTGGGCCCAAGTCTGTGAGCAGTGTCCTCGTGAGGGCCTGTCTTGTGAGCAGCTTAAGGGAGAGCTGGGACCCCTCCCCATGTCTGGAGTCACCCCCCTGAAGCAGGGTTGGCCAGGCTAGTCAAGCTCCTTGCCCAGGGTGAGGAGCCCTCCTGCACTGGTCAGCAGTGGACGCTGGCAGGAGAGGAGCACCCAGCCCACAGCACCTGTGCTGGGGATGGAGTACCTGCCCCACCTGGAACTGGGTGTTGAGGACGCTGTGGCTTCTGGGACCTGAGAACTTGCGTTTCTGGGCAGTGTTCCAGGTGGGAAGCAGGTTCTGTTGATCAGGCAGGAAGTCCCGTCCCACAGCTGGGCCCCCCCGACCGGGTGGGGGAGAGGACAGATTGCGCTGAGCCCGCCAGGCCTGTCACCACAGAGCTCCAAATCTAATAAAGGGATCTCTCTGAAAACGGTTCCAAGTCCAAGAGCATCCGGCAGCATCGAGAAAGAGACCTTTCACAGCTTTATTCATAGTGCACGCTAGCACACCGCTTCCCAAACATCCAGGCCTCAGGGGTCACATGCACCCCAGAGAGGGCCTCGTGTGCAGTACCCACCCTCCAAGGCTGGGCAGCCCGCTGGGCAGGGCCATGAAAGCTTACAGAGGCAATCCTCCTCAGCTCCATCGGCTGAGGGTTGAAGGAGGAGAGCTGTGATGCTTGGCTCCACGGCGGGTCCTCCTGGGGCTCACTTCTGTTGGGGTGTGCCCAGGAGCCCCCACTGCAGTGCCAGGAGGGCCCGGGCCTGCGGCTGCAGCGGCTCAGCCGCCCGCTGGAAGCTTGCCCGCTCCTTGCAGAGTGCCTCCAGGACCTCGGCCGGGGCCGCCTTCCCCGTGAACTTGCGCACAGACTCTTCTCTGTGGGGAGAGGGGGCACCATGGGGACCCTGTTGGGGACTGCTGGTGGGTGTTGGCAGGGGACACTTGAAGACCAGCGTCTCCCTGCTGCGAGCCAGCCCGGTAGCCAGTCCCCTGACACCTCCTGCAGAGCCCAGGTGACAGCCAAGGAGGACCCGAGGACAGCAAGCCAGCCACAAGGCAGCCTGCTCTCTAGCACAGCCCCTGGGGTGAGCACAGGGCCCCCACAAGAAGTCCTGGGATGCCAACCAGTACTCACGCCACCCTTAGGAAGGGATTGTAGAGGAGCTCCTCACTCAGGGTGGACGGCACGGTGGGCATATCGTCCTCGTCCCTTTTCTGGAATGACCACAGGCCCTTGTCACAGCTTTATCTTAAGAGCCCCCAGGCAACATGGCTCCACTCAGCCCCACCACTTCCCGGGGGACCAGAAGGGCTGCCTTGCCCGGTGTGGCCCTTGAGGGCGGCCACCCCTGGACCAGGGTTACTGTCTGCCCAGCCCCTGCCCAGAAGGATACCCTGTGCTAAGGCAGGAGTGGTCCTGACTCCCCCTGCGGTGCCCCTCCTCCCGCCTAGCCGTCACCCACCCTCCAGACCTCAGGGAGGAGCGGCCGCACCTTGGCCCAGGACAGCTTAGCTCTCACGTGGTCGTTGCCCGGCTCCACTTTCTGCGCAAATTCCAGGTTGCCCAGCGTGTGCTCGTGGCCGCAGAACACCTTCTGGAGAAAAGAGGCACTCGGGGGGTGCACAGTGCTGCCACCGGCAGATGGAGGTTGCTCACCCGGCCGGCCTGGTCCCCCTGGCCCGGGACCCCAGCACCCACCGGGACCCGGTCGGCCTCGGCTCAGGCTGATGAGCCTTGGTTCTGCACGCGGGGCACAGGCACAAGTCAGCCACAGCCTTTGCGGCCAGCCAGAGCCCCGAGGAGGGGAGAGGAGGGGCGGGGAGGGGGCGGCCCTCACCGTATCCGGGGGCAGCGTGCCCAGGATCTGCGTCAGGCTCTCGTACATCTGCTGGGCTGTGCTCTCCAGGCGCAGGCCACAGCCGGCCACGGACAGCGCATCCCCTGGGGGGCACGGCAGGTCAGAGGGGGAGGGGCGGGGCCGGAGGGGCGAGGCGGCGGGGCGGGGCAGCCGGTACCAGAGAACACCGCGGGCGGGTCCGGACACTCCTCTTCCCACAGGAAGTAGCTCATGTGGCCGGAGGTGTGGCCCGGCGTCAGGAGGCAGCGCGCGTGGATCGCCCCGAACTGCGGCAGAGGGGCGGGCGGCGGTGAGGCGGGGGGAGGGGGGGGGCGGACCGGCTCCCCGCCCTCCCGGGCGCGCGCTCACCCGCAGCTCCTCGCCGTGCACCAGCCTGCGGGTCAGCGCGCAGATGCGCTCGTCGGCGCCCAGCACCGCCAGCCCCGGCCGCAGCCGCGCCAGCTCCGCGTTGCCCCGCGCGTGGTCCCTGCGGACGGCCGGGCCGGGGTCACACCGGGGTCGCGGTGGGGCAGGGGCGATGCCCTCGCGCCTCGGCCCGCCCCGACCGCGCTCACCAGTGGTGGTGGGTGGTCAGCACGGTCGTCAGTGATACCCCCTCCCGGCCCACGATCTCCAGCAGCTGAAAGGCACGGGAGTTAGGGAGATTCGGAAGGGCGAGGTGGCCGCCTCCTGCCCGCCCCGCGCCGGGGCGCCAGCGGCGAAACAGGGGGAGTGCGGTGGGGAGACCCAGGGGGCGAACGACCACGGGCACCGGGGAGGGGACACAAGTCAGAGGCGGCAGCCCCGAGATACGCGGCGAGCCGTGCGCGCCAAGTGCCCAGGGAGCAGGGAGCGGGGCGCGGAGGTGGGGGGCCCAGCGCTCCCCGCCGCCCGCAGGTTGCCCTCACCCTCTTGGGCACGGCCACGTCCACGGCCACAGCCTCCCGCGTGCGTTCCTCGATGACAAGGTACATGTAGTTATCCTCGAGCACGGGGATGACCTTGACCTTCATGGTCGCGGAGCTCAGGCACCCCGCGTCTTCCAGAGACGCTCCGCGCCCCTTCCTCCGGGCGGGGGCTTCCCTCTCCAGGCCCCGGCAGGGCTGCGCGAGGGAGGGGTCAGAAAGGGAGCCCGCTCGCCGCTCCGCCGACTTCCCGGAGCACCGGTGCGGGAGCGCACGCCCCAGGCTCCAACCCGGCCGGCCGGTGGGGACGCCAGCACCCCGCGCCGCCGCCGCCGCCGCCGCCGCCCCTGCGGCCACACGGCCCGCTCCGCGCTCCGGCCACGCCCCCGCTACGACGCAACCGCCCGGGGCCGCCCCTCCCGCTAACCACGCCTTCCCAGAGCCCCGCCCCCTGCCCACGCGCGTTCTGCCTAGGCCACGCCCCCCGCGGCGACGCAACCGCCCGGGCCCGCCCCTCCCGCGCCGCTAGCCCCGCCCCGCCCCTCCGCACCTCCCCCTAGACCACGCCCCTCCAGGCCCGCCCCGCCCCGCCCCGCCCCCCCTCCTGTCCCCGCCGCGCCGCCGGGGCCCCGAGCTGCAACCTTGCCCGCGGGGGCTGCGCCTGCCCTCTGCGCGGACCGCCTCACCGACGGCCGGACGGAGGGGGGCCTCGGCGCTGGCCACGGGCCTGAATGGAGCGCGGCCCTCGGATGGCCGCCGCCAACGGCCCGGGCCCCGGCGCAGGGAGCTGGCGTGCGCGGCCTGGGGCGCGCGCGTGCCCGGCGGGGGCCGCACGCACGCCCGGTCCCCCAGCGCCTCCTCCGCGAAGCCCTCCCGTCGCCGCGGCTGAGCCGGGCCTCCTGAAGCTCCCAGCCCCTACCCTCCGGCTGGGGGCGGGGGAATCTGTAGGTCCGTCCTCCGGCCCAACCAGAAAGGTAGGCATACAGAAGGCGCCTACTGTGTGAAGCCCCGCGCAGCGCAGGGCCCCACTGCTTCTGTGCTACCGCCTCGCCTGGGGCTTCTCATGCGCTCCCGGGTACGCCCAGCGGTACCCGGGATAAGGGCGGAGGTGCCGGCGTGCACCTCCCGGATGAGAAAACGAACCCGGACAGGATGGGGCCTCACAGGGAATGAGCTGAGAGGCCGCCTCCCCGGCCACCCAACTGCCCCGGCTGCCCTCGCGGGTGGGGGAGACCAACAGAGGCCTTGGCAACGCAAGCCAGTGTGGCGGCAACGGGCCGGAGGCGAGGCGGCCCGCCTTTGGGGTGGCCACAGTTCCTTCTGCCCATGGAGCGCGCTGCAGCCACCAGACCGGGGCCCTCACCCGGGGCCGCTGAGCACGTGAGCCCCCCCGGGGCACCTGTGCTGCTGCCATGGGGTCAGGTTGTGCCCTCAGAGGCCAGGAGACATGGCCCTAGCTCGGGCGGCCTGTGTGGGGGGTGGGGGTCGGAGGCCACGCCCAAGCCTGACACCCACCTGGAGCATGGGGGTGCCTCCCCAGGTTCTGCCCCAAGCCGAGGACTGGACAGCCAGCCTCAAGACAGAGCTTCCCTCAGATCTAGAGCTGAGTGAGGAGCAGCGACTGCAGGTGGGTGTGGGGGCCCTAGGGTGCTAGCAGGAGGGAGGGACCCACAAGCACCCCCTCACCATGGACACTTGCAGATCTCCAAGGAGTTGGTCGACCTGCAGATCACAACTCTTCAGCTGAGAGAGCAGCACGAAGCCGAAGTCTTTGAGCTGAAGAGTGAGGTGGGTGGTGCTGATACTTGCCCACACGTGCTAGCCGGAGCACATGGGGGGCTGGCGCTTCCTGGGGACCAGTGGTGTGGGGGGTCCCGGTGCACCCATGTGACTGTCCACACTGGTGGTGCCTGCGAGTCCCATCTGCCTCCTGTGCTGTGTCCCTGTACGTACCCAGATGATGTGGACCTACCTCGGGTGGCCTGGCAGGCAGGTGCAGCCACTCACCCGCTCACCTGCAGGTCCTACGGCTGGAGAGCCGGGTGCTGGAGCTGGAGCTGGAGCTGCATGGAGCTCGTACTGACCTGGGGCACTGCCGGGAGCTGGCACCGGGGCTGCAGCACAAGGCCCCGGAGCAGGGACACTCCACCCACCACAGGCCCCAGGTCGCCTTGAGTGCATGGAGGGGCCGGCTGGGCGGGAGCCCAGCAGGGGCCCAGCAGAGGCACAGCGAGGTCGGGACTGGCACTCTCGTACAGGCACAGCCTGAGGACTTCCTGGCCCCCGAGCATCAACAGCAGAAGCTGGGGGACAGCGTGGGTGCTCAGCCTCGTGGCTTGGGGCTCCGTCCAGATCTCCCCCAGCCCATGGTGGTGTTGGGCAGTGCCAGGATCCCAGAGCCTGGGGTATCCGCCAGCCAGCCCTGGTGCACCCCGCAGCTGCAGGGAGAATGGAAGCGAGTGCTGGAGCAGCACAAGGCCCAGAAGCAGGCACTGGAGGCCCGTGTGTGAGTGGCTGCCTCCCTCGGCGTGGGGAGGGTCCAGCCTGACCCCAGGCTCAAAGCGGCTCTTCCCAAGAGCAGAGGGAGTCCCGCCCGCCCCACCCCGGGCCCAGCTGAGCCTCACACCCGTGTTCTCAGGGTGGACCTGGGCCGGCGGCTGCAGGGGGCACAAGCAGAGGCCAGGACAGCTGGGCAGCGACTAGCTGCACAAGCCATGGTGAGGCCCCGTCCTGCCTATTTTGACACCTAGTAGGGCGTCCTACAGTCGTGGAGTGTGGGTTCAGGGCTACCCCCGCCCCCCCAGGTGTTGTCTGCCTGCCAAGGTCAGCTCCGCCAGGCCGAGGTGGAGAACGCCCAGCTGCAGCTGCAGCTCAAGAAGCTGAACGAGGAGTATGCCCTCCAGCTGCAGCGATGTGCCCAAGCTGTGGCCGTGAGCACTGGGGGCGGCCCCGTGCTGGGGGGGTGGCCCCGTGCTGGGGGGGTGGCCCCGTGCTGAGCGAGCGACCTCAGGTCCCGGGGAGCCAGCCTAGCCTGGCTGTGTGTACAGCCCAGTCCACTTCACGGAGGGGACTGCGGGCAGTGTCCCCATGGCAAGCCCGCCCCTCCAGGAGTACACCAACCAGGCGGGCCGGGTGCCCACGGCCGCAGTCCTTCGCACGTTCCTGGAGACCACTCTGGAGGACATCCGGGCAGCACACCGCAGCCGTGAGCAGCAGTTGGCCCGGGCTGCTCGTGCCTACCGCAAACGCCTGGCAGATCTAAGCCGTAGGCACCAGGAGCTGCTGGCTGCCCACAGGTGGGCCCCTCCCTGAGACGGGCACCTTGGGGGGGCTGACTCTATGTGACTTGGCATGTGGTTTAGTGTGCAGCAGGTGCTGGCAGGCCCCAGTGGGGCACCCGGGACCCCCAAAGCTACCTTTGAGGTAGCCATCTCCGACCTGGAGCCTCTGCACCTGGCTCCCGCACTTGGTCACCCAGGAGACCAGGCCAGGCTGCAGACCGAGCTCCAGAAGCTCCAGGCCCAGGTGAGCTCTCCCTGCTGCCCCCCACCGGCCGTGGAGCACGGCAGCCCAAACACACCCCAGGCCCATCAAGGCTCGGCCATGATCCAATCCCTAAGCAGCCTGCCCCATTCAGCCGACACAGGATCCCTACCACAGCCCACCAGGCTCACGACGCTGCTCTTGTTCCCACAGAAGGGGCCCAGGGAAGCCTCCCAGGGGGGCACGCTAGAGCCACAGTGAGTACCCAGGGGTGGGCCTGGGGACCTGCAGGAGCATCAGTCATCCGCGCCCTCAACTCTGACTGCTGGGTGGGGTTTGGTTGCTGTGGTGAACAAGCTGCCCATCTGTGCTGTGGGGTTTGGGTCTGTATGGGAGGCAGCCATAATCACAGAAGGCCGAGTGCCTGGGGTGAATGGGGCCCTGACAGGAGAGGTCTAATCTTGAATGGAGGGTCACGGAGATCCCCTGAGGAGGGGCCATCTCAGAGAGACCTGGGTGACCTATGGATGACGAGGCGTGGTGGACGGCCAGCAGAGGCCCTGGCCTTGGGACAGGATGGGAGCAGGCTGCCAGGTGATTTCAGTCCTTGCCTCTGGGCCTCCATGTTTTTAACTGTGCAATGGGGAGGATTTGTATCAGCCCCTACTGCCAGAGTTCTGAGAAATAAACCCCTAGGGATGGGGGGTAAGCCCCTTATCAACATCTATACGGCACCGGGGTCACTGTCTGGCTTCATGGCTTAGCCCTCCGTGAGTGGGCCTGGGCTGCCCTGCCCCCACATGCCGATAGCTCAGAGGCCTGAGCAGGCCCATAGTGGACAGGTGGGCGCATGCTGTCCTGAGTCTGGTGCTCCAACTTGAACAAAACCATTGGTCAACACCTGGCCTGACGCTGGCCCTCATACCTGCCCTTTCCTGTCTCCCCACAGGGCCCAGGAAGCTGCTTCCTGGGCCCAGATCCACCAGAAGCTCCAGGACTTCTCCCATGGTACCCAGGTAATCGGCAAAGCCTGGCTGGGAGCCCCTCCTCACACTGTCCCATCTCATAGCTGACGCCCTCCCCCACACCAGGCAGAGCTGGAACGCGAGCGGGCACAGCTACTAGTACGGGCCACAATGGCTGAGGAGCAACTTTCTGAGCTACAGGAGTACGTGGACCAGCACCTAGGCAGGTGGGCTGGCTGTGACCTGAGGACCCCAATCCCAGGCACTGAGACAGGGCTTGTGCACAGCCCGGCAGGTGACTAATGCTGACCCCTCTGTGCAGGTACAAACAGGAGATCCTGAGGCTGAGGAAGCTGACGGGTACGGAGGACGCCTAGAAAGCGGGGGCCACACCTTCAGTGAACCCCCAGCACCTGAAGACCTGAAGCCGCTAGCCAGTTGTCAAACCACAGCAGAACTCTTCACAGCCAGGGTGGAGGCCTCCCCACTGCACCTCCTTGGGGTGGGGGTCATTCCTCTCAGCCCTCCACCTAACAAGAGTCAGGACATAGTCTGCTGAGTCTTTATTTATTTATTTTTAATTTTTTTTAATTTATGATAGTCACAGAGAGAGAGAGAGAGAGAGGCAGAGACACAGGCAGAGGGAGAAGCAGGCTCCACGCACCGGGAGCTGGACGTGGGATTCGATCCCGGGTCTCCAGGATCGTGCCCCGGGCCAAAGACAGGCACTAAACCCCTGCGCCACACAGGGATCCCCCGCTGAGTCTTTATTGTGTCCAAATAGTCAGCCAGCTGGAGAAGTGAGGGCCCCAGGGACTGAGGCAGAACTGGGTCCTGGGGGGACCTGACCAGCTGGGCTACCACTATGGACGTCATAGGCCCAGACACGGTCCAGACCCTCACCCAACACGGCCACAGGATGCCAAGTGGGGAGGGGGAAGCGCCCTGACACCACTCGGGCCCCTTCGGGCAGCTCCGCCTGCAACTTGTCTTCCAGCAGCGGGAGCTGTGGGAAAGAGCAGGGGGTAGGGTGCACAGGACGGGAGGTTACCGCCCTCCCACCCATGTCCTCCCGGCACAGCAGGTGCTCCAAGGCCGGCCTGGGCCTCCCCTGGGGTGGGCTGCCGCCCCCCGCCCCCGACCTACCACGCTAGGCGCCAGGAACACAGACACGTTGTGGCAGTCCCTCAGGTTCACCTGCAAGAAGACGTCACCCCAGGAGAGTCAGCCGCCCGGACAGGTGGCCAACCCAGGACGGGAACCGTGGAAGTCAGACGTGGGGCCTGAGGGGCTCCGGGACTCCCTGGGTTACCTTCCAGAGATCCTGGCAGCAGAAGCGGACGCTGCCCGCGCAGCCCGCCCTCCAGGCATGCAGCCGAGCCAGCCCCACTAGCCACGGGTTCAGCTCGTAGCCCAGCGCCGGGCGAAGGCCGCACCTGTGGGCCGCCAGCACCTGTGGGCACAGGACACCGTGGGGACCGAGCGGTGGCTCGGTGCGTGGGCCACGGCCGCCCCCTGCGCCAGGTGCTTACAATCCTGCCGTCGCCGGAGCCCAGGTCCACCGTCTTCCCGGGACGGCCTCGCAGCAGCGTCAGCACGTGCTCCACCTGCCTGGTGCTCGCCCCCACATAGGGCACCTGGGCAAGGAGCAGGGGCGGGGTCCCCTGACCTGAGCCACGCGGCGGCGGGGCCAACGCCCTGTCTGCGCCCCGGCCCCGCCCCTGCAGCCGCAGCGGCACGGCGCCGGCCCCGGGCCCCAGCCCCGCGCCCGCCCCGCAGCCGCTCGGCCCTGCCCCCGGTGGGTCCCGCCCCCCCAGCCGCCCCGGCCCCGCCCCCCCCAGTCGGCCCCGCCCCGCACCTGCAGCCGCAGCGGCACTGCCCGGAAGCCCGGCTGCAGCAGCAGCGCCCACACGGCGTAGGCGGCCAGCCCCGAGCCCGCCGCCGCCTGCAGCAGCCCCAGCGCCCCCAGCCGCCGCTCGCGCAGCTCCGTCAGCGCCTCGCCCGGCTCGTCCGGCTCCATGGCCCCCCGCCCCAGCGTCCTCCCGGGCTCCGGGAAAGCGTCCCAGCCGCGGCGCCGGAAGGGGCGGGCGGAGGCCGCGGCTGGGCGCCGGAAGCGCCGTCCGCTCGCGTCCGAGCGGGGGCCCGGACCCTTCCCGCGCGTTCCGCTCGGTGCAGGCCCGCGGGTCCCCGCAGCGCCCGCCGAGCCCGCGGCAGGTGCCCCGCTGACGAAGGCAGGGCAGGGGGCGCCGCGGCGGGAGAGGCGGAGACCCAGAGGGCAGGGGCGCCCAAGGCCGGTGCGCTTCAGCCTCCCGCTCCGAGGAACGCCCAGAACGCGGGGGTGCAGCGGGGCCTGGCGCGGCCGGGGCGTGGGGAGGCGAGCGGGCCGCGGGGCCCCGGGTCGGGCGCAGAGCCCGGCGCCCTCCTCCGCCCGGCGCCTGCACCCACGCGGCCCTGCGCGAGAGCCCAAGGCCGCCGCCCCCGGTCCTGAGAGCCAGGTGTGCAGGGCGGCAGGAGACCCCGCCCGGAGCCGCCCCCCCCAGCCCCCCCAGAAAAGTGGTGCCCCGGGCTCTAGAAGACAATAAAAGCTTGTTGCGAGAATGCCCCCAAGCACACCCCTCGGGGTCGCCTCCGGGCCCGGGCGCCGGTGTGTGCCCGCGAGCGCATGTGCCCCAGGGCCCCCGGGGCCAGCTCCCGCAGCTCCAAGGCCATGCCCGCCCGCAGCCTCTCCCCTCGGCACTTCCCCCAGGGCAGGTGTGCAGCCTCTGGCCCGGCTTTGAGGCCCGCCCGGGAGCACCGGGGGCTCCCGTGACTCGTTAGCCGCACCCACTGCCGCTGCCTCTGCACTTTATGGAACGAGCACTGGTTGCAAGTTAGCATGTTGTCAAGGCTGGGGCGGGAGGCTCAGGCACTTCCTGGGGCAGGTGCGCAGGTACCGGGACCCAACGAAGAGCCCCCCCACGTGTTTTGGACACTGGTCCCAGACCCGCGTACAGTGACCCCAGGTGTGGCCAGGCCTTCTTTCTAGGAAAGGTGGAGAGACCAGAAAGTCAGGACAGATGCCAAGGCTGAGGATGCTGCTTAGCCCTAAAGAAGAAGCCGTCCTTGGGGCCGTCTGGACACAGCAAAGCCTCCCGACGCGAGGAGGAGGATCATCTCATCTCCTCCTCCTCCTCCTCTGGGCTGTGCTAAGATACTCCTGGGGAAGGGGACGGGGCCCGACGGGACAGCCACCTGCAGTCCAGGGAGGGGTCCAGGCCGCAGCTCACTCTATGCTCGTCAGCGTGTTGATGGTTTTCAAAGCCACAGGCTGGGATCCCTGGGTGGCGCAGCGGTTTGGCGCCTGCCTTTGGCCCAGGGCGCGATCCTGGAGACCCGGGATCGAATCCCATGTCGGGCTCCCGGTGCATGGAGACTGCTTCTCCCTCTGCCTGTGTCTCTGCCTCTCTCTCTCTGTAACTGTCATAAATAAATAAAAAATTAAAAAAAAAATTTTTTTAAAATTCAAAGCCATGGTCTGATCCTGCTCTCGGGTGAGGGGATATCAACGGAGAGGAGGAGAGGCCTCGGGCCCGAGCCCCCAGCCCTGAGCACTAGCTTGGAAGAAGAGCAGCAGTGAACCTCAGGAGGGCGGGTGGAGCGCACCTCCCCTCCCTGAGATTGTCAGCGGGACCCGGAGGAAGTGGCCCTGTGTCTGGGCCCTGAACGGACCAGTCCCTCTCCGAAACTCAGTTCCCGCCTGAAAAATGACACAGCCTCTGGCCTCCAAGCTCACCATCAGCCCCTTCCCTGGTGTAGACTGGCAGGTAAGGATGGGATGCTGCTTCCGGGGCTCAGCCCATCAGCCCACACATCCCCCCACCGCACCTGAGCTTTGGCTTTCTCAAGGATTGTGGGGCTGGGGTGAGGCGAGTCAGTCAGGTCATCCCCAGTTTAGGTGCTTCTGCCTGCACCCCCACCCTGGGGGCACTCAGCCTAAGGGCCCCAGGCTTTGTCCCAAACTGCACTGGCCTTTTGTGTGGCTAAGGCTGAGGAGGAATGCGGAGGCAGCAACAATGGGCCCAGTGGCGGGAAACGGTCCTCAGAGACACACCATTGTGTGCCCCTGCCCTCCAGAAACGGGCAGCATGCCTGACCCTACGGGAGACACCCCACTCCCACGAGGCTTCAAGCCACGTCAGGATGCTCTGCATGTCGCAAGACCCTCAGGACAGCAGGGCCCATTCTTCCCGAAGGTAGGATGGGGCCAGGACAGGTCTGCTGGGTCCCGGCAGGCTGCAGAGGGAAGTCAGGCACCCCACCCGATTGCAGCCCCTCACTGTCAGGCGATGAGTGGTGTTTGCCTACCTGCCTCCCCAAAAGGACCCCACCCAGCCAGGACTTTGGGAGTTCCAGCCCTCCCCCACCCCCACCCTGAGCTACAGAGGCACCTGCCATGCAAGGAAGGAGCCGCGGGGCTGAGGCGCACAGGGGGGTAGAGTCCCTGCCCCCGCCAACCCGCACAGCAGCTCCTCCCCGAGGGCCTGGGCCGCTGTCCCCCTCACTGGCTGGGTGGCCTGGACAAGACACCGCTGCCCCAGCCTGTGTCTGAGGCAGAAATGCACAGTCCCCAGGGCGGAGCGACTTGGCCAAAGGAGCACCAGCGCGGCACGGGACGCTCGTCTCCACCGGCTAAGGGAGGCAGCGCTCTTATCCATTACCATTACTGCCACCAGCTCAGAGGCGGAGGCCCGGTGGGAGCCCCCCGGCCCCCGTGCCCGGCTCCCAGGTCCCTCAGTCCAGGGCCACCTCGCAGGGGTGGGGGCGGCTGGTGTGGGCAGCTGCATAGGCTCGGCTGAACTCCTGGAAGTGAGGTGCACAGCCCAGCCAGGCCTCCCCAAAGTGACTCCAGCCCATGAAGAGGAAGGTGCCAGGGCCCCCCCGGACGCCGCGGTGCAGCGGGGTATGGATGGAGGCCCGGTCCCCGACTCCCCCGCCAGAAGAGTGGCCTCTGTGAGAACAGACTCCTGCAGCTCCTTGTCGTGGGCAACCCCATGGATGGTTCCATTGATCACTGTGGGGAAACACGCTGGCCAGTGGCGTGCAGGGGACGGCAGCCCCCTGGCTCTGTCACCGCGGAGACACCAAGTCGCTGGTGCATGCAGCCAGCAGGAGCTCAGTGTGGCTGCAGGGCCTGCGGGTACCTGGCACGAGGGGAGATGGTGAGTGCAGGTCCTGCCCTCCCCTGCATGCCCCCCACCCCAGCTGGAGGCAGGAGGGAAAGGGCGGGCCTCCAGACCCTCCCCTCGGGGCCTGATGACAACTGAGGCCCCGGGGCCCCGAGGGAGCCTGTGGGCACACGCCCCGAAAACACCCTGTCTTCGTGGTGACCCTTGCTGTGCCCCGCATGCAGGCACGTGGAGCGGGGGTCTGGGGCACACGCCCACATCCGCCTTACATGCACATACCAGTGTGCGGCCACCCAGGCCACCCCACTGGCTCCCCTGAGCCGCTTCCCTGGCCCAATGACAAGCCCAACCCAAGTGGGTGGCAGGACATGACCGTGAGCTTTGGGGTCTCCAGCCTGGGGCCAGGGGGCAGAGCAGAAGGATCCCCTCTGCTGTGGGGTCAGGCTCCAAGCTCCAGGAAAGTAAAGAGCTGGGCCCGGTGCCCTGCAGGGAGGCAAGGCCGTATCTCCATGGTGACCATGGCACACACTGGACTTTTGCTGCACTGGACTGGGGGAAGGGGGACGGTCACGCTGGGCCAGGGAGCCCTGGACAGCTTTGCCGGGGGCCTTGATTGTGTTCCCCCGCAGGTCCTCTCCCAGCCCCTCAAGGACCGAGAGTTGGGCCAGCTGGTTCCCTAAGCTGAACCCTGAGGGATCGCCCAGCCCTTTCCAACCCTCCCACCCATCCTCACTAGCTGTGCGCTCCTTTTTTTTTTTAATTTTTTATTTACTTATGATAGTCATACAGAGAGAGAGAGAGGCAGAGACATAGGCAGAGGGAAAAGGGGAGAAGCAGGCTCCATGCACCGGGAGCCCAATGTGGGATTTGATCCCGGGTCTCGAGGATCGCGCCCTGGGCCAAAGGCAGGCGCCAAACCGCTGCGCCACCCAGGGATCCCAGCTGTGCGCTCCTTAACAACCCACTTCGCTCTCACGCCTCAGTCTCTCCCTCCGACAGTGCGGAGGACAGGCACGTCCCCACCCAGCACCCAGCCCGGGGCCTGTGGCCGCAGCTCTGGATGCCTGTCCCCGCACATTTTGAAGCGGAAGGAGGCCACCCGGCGGCTGATGTCGGGGTGTGGGGTGGCCTGCAGGAAGAGGGCCGGGTGCTCACGGGGGCCCCAGCCCTCAGCTAGCAGCAGCTCAGACCCCCCGCTGCCCGCTCGGCGAACACCTGCGCGCCGGCCAAGGGCTGCGCATGGGGGCCGGGGTGGGTACAGCCAGCGGACCCCATCCCCGCACACGCCAGGACAGCTGGCACACGCCGCCCGGCTCCTGGGTCAGGCTGCTGCGGACGGGACCACACGGCAGGCGCTCAGGTGGGGCGCCCGCACCCCCTGTGCCCGCCGCCCGCCCGGCTGCTCGTACCTGCCGCTCCAGCTGCAGCAATGCTCCGAGCAGCCGGGCTGGTGGCAGGGGCAGGAGGCCGGAGCAGAGCGCGCACAGCAGCGCGAGGGGTCCTGTGGTCCCCAGGCGCCCCGCACCCCTGCGCCCGCCGCACCTCTCTTCTGCGGGGCAGCCCGTGGGGGCCGGGCCCAGGAACTTTCCACCAATCACGGTGGTGCGCGTGGGGCAGGAGGCCGAGCCTCCGCGGGGCGGGGTGGGGGTGGGGTGGACACCGAGGCCCGAGCTCCGGCCCTGCGGGCTCGGTGTCGCCCTGTCGCCCCCACGACCCCCGCACCTCCACCTGCGCCCTGTCCGCAAGCCCTTGACTGGGGTCGGGGTGGGAGTACCCCTCACTGGAGCCCCTGCCTGGGAGGTGGCCCCTTCAGAGACTGGACGGGGGCTTCCAGTCCCCATCCTGCCCTAGAGGTGGCACGGTTCCCAGGGATGAGGGCCCCGATGCTGGCCCCCAGGGTCAGACCCCCAGGAGGTGCAGACCAGCTGAAATGAGGCCAACCCTGGGCGGGTGTGGAGGCTGAGGGAGAGATCTCCTGGTGGCAGGGACATCCCCTGAGGGCGGTGGGGGGGGGGCTGCAATTCGAAGCCCAGCACAGGAGCAGACTGCCCTGGCAGGGGCCCAGAACAGGGTCAAACCCTGGGTCAGATCACAGAGGCCTTAGGCACAAAGCCAGGAGTCCAACCACGTCCTCCAACCCTCAACGTCACAGAGAGCTTTAACCAGGGTCTGCAGGAAACAGCATGGATTGCCACCTGCGGTGTGAACCCTCCACCCCACTACCCCGTACCCCAGCCCTCCAGCTACACCCGGCCTGAAGGGCACAACGGACAGATCGGGACGTGGCCCCAAGGGGAAGGGGTACAGGACACCCCTTGCTCTGGGCAAGGAGCATGAGTAGCAGCCAGGACAACAGCCAGAGGCAGGTCAACTTCAGTGTCTATCGGCAGATGACTGGGTGAATGAAATGTGGCCCGTCCACCCATGGACTATGATTCCATTGTTTCTTTGTTAAAATAATTTTTTTATGATTCCATCATAACAAGGAAGGAGATCCAGGAGCTCCTAGCTCTGCCAGTGGAACACACCACTCCTGGTCTCCAGGTTGTGGGCTCAAGCCCCACGGTGGGTACAGAGATTACTTAAAAATAAATCTTGGGGGGCAGCCCCGGTGGCGCAGAGGTTTGGTGCCGCCTGCAGCCTGGGGCGTGATCCTGAGGCCCCAGGATTGGGTCCCACGTCGGGCTCCCTGCGTGGAGCCTGGTTCTCCCTCTGCCTGTGTCTCTGCCTCTCTCTCTCTCTCTCTGTGTCTCTCATGAATAAATAAAATATTTTTAAAAATCTTAAAAAAAAAAAAAACAAAGCAGGGGGTGGGGAGTGGAGATTTGGACACCTGCTCCAGCACAGATGACCCTTGAGGGCGTTATGCTTGGTGCAATCAGCCAGACACAAAAGGACAAACACCATCTGACTGCATGTCTGTGAGGGCCTGGAGTTGTCGAGTGCACAGAGGCAGAAGGTGGGTCGTGGGGGGCAGGGGCTGGGGCAGGGTGTGTAACGAGGACAGAGCTCCAGCTGGGAAGACGAAAGACGGACCAGCTGCACAGTGATGGGAATGTGCCAGACATTTGACTGTGCAATTGAACATGGTGAGGACGCAGATTTTACTCCACTAAAAGTGAAAGAGGCGGACAGGGCCAGGCTGGGCACTAGAAGGCAAAAGAGGCACCAGCAGGAGGGGAGAGGGCGCTGGGGTTAGCAGCACCCTGCCGCCCAGGGGCGCCCATCCCCTTCCCCGCCTTCCAGTCAGTCCCTGCCGCCTGCGCCCCGCCAGGTCTCCGAGCCAGCCAGTGGGCTCCGGGCGCCCTCTGCTGGCGGTGTGGGGTCTCAGCCCCGCCAGCCTAGGACCCCCGGCTGCCCAGGATGAGTGGGTGCCTTTGGGTGCCTGCGGGAAGGGTTCCTCACCAGTGCCTGGTCCAGAAGGGACACACACATGGCCTGAGCCATCTTCTCATCACCAGGCTTCCCCTGCCCAGGCCTCCTGCCCAGAGCCGGGTAGTAACGCCAAATGTCACCCACAGAAAACCTGGATGGGGGGACGCCTGGGTGGCTCAGCGGTTGAGCATCTGCCTTCGGCTCAGGTCCTGATCCTGGAGACCTGGGATCAAGTCCCGCCTCGGGCTCCTTGCGGGGAGCCTGCTTCTCCCTCTGCCTGTGTGTCTGCCTGTGTCTCTCATAAATAAAATCTTAAAAAAAAAAAAAAGAAAAAGAAAAAGAAAACCTGGACAGGGCCACCTCTCTTTATACGTGCTGCTGCCCATCAGCAAAGCACCTGGGTGGTGTTAACCATCACCTATCGCTGCCCATGGGACGGGGAGCCCAGAAGGCCATGCCTGCCCGGGATCGTTACGAGAGCAGTGACCAGACATGCTGCAGGTGCTCAGTCAACACACAGGCAAGGAGTGTGTGCACCAATGAGCAAATGGGTGAGCGAATGACATCCCAAACCTCAGGCAACTCCTCCAAGTCTATGCTCAGCATGGGGGCTCCTTCACATGCCCCCAGCTCCAGACCCTTCAGGGTCCTGACCCTCCATAAGGGCCCTCCGTCCATTCCCACACAAAACCCAGTTCTTGGCAGGAGCCACACCTGATGCTGGGGGAGGGTCCCAGCTGAGCCATACTACAGCAGGAGGGTAACCCCAGAGGGCAAAGGGCAGCCGACAGGAAGCCCACAGTACTTGGGGCATAAGCAAGGAGCACTCATGACCAGGGGAGGTGCTGGGCTCCTGAAGGACCTGGCCAAGCAACAGGAAGGCAGGGCAGATCCCATGGGTGATGGGGGCAGGAAGAGGACCCGTCTGCTTGCCCCTAAGCAGCTAACCCAGGGTGCCCAGCAACCCTGTTAGGCCGGGTCTCCTAGCTCCTCTGCCCGCCCCCTTCAGCGGCACCTCGTTCCCCTGACCTTCACCCCCAGCAGAATCCGGCTCTGCCCACCTATGGATGCTGTATCTGGAGACACGTGGCAGCAAGATTCCTGTCGTGGGGATGTTTTCTTCCCTTTGACAAGAAATCCGCCCCCAATACACCTTGCATCTTCTGGAGGAGCCAAAAATGCAGCTGCAGATTGATATGCAGCTGAGCTAAAAATAACTGCCAGGCCCCAGCCAGGGCCCAGGAAAATATCCCATTGCTAGGAGACAGCCGTTCCTGGGAGACAGCCATTGCTAGGCGACGGGGTTGCCGTGGTGACAGCTGGGCCCTGAGTCATACTCAACCCGGCTGCTCCGCCCCTCTGCCCCTGGCAGGTCGGGCCTGGGTCCCGGGAGGAGGAGAAGCGGGGAGCAGGGGTTGCAAGGCAGTAAAGGGACCCACCCTCTGATGCCCACAGCCACCATGGCCGCCCGGGCTTCCAGGTTCCCACTCCTGTGGGTGCCTGCTCTAGCCGCTGAGTGGCCAGGACAGTGACACTGCCCCCGCCGCCCCCCCCCCCGCGTGCCTCGCAGGCCCCCCCACCAGGCGCTGGGCACTGGGGCAGAGGCAGGGAGGTTTGCAATGTCCATCTGGCCCTTTGCCTGCACAGCAGAGGCTTCATACTGGGCCATTTACAATCAGGCATGGGGCTCTCGCCACCTGTGCTGTGCTAGGTGCCGGGCTGACCTTCCAGGCACCCCCTTGGACCCCATACCTATTTGGCAGGAGAGGAAGTACTTAGCTGAACCCCCTCCCCCGGGGAAGGGAGGATCCGAGCCAGGCAGGTGGCTGCAGGGCACATGTACCCAGAGCCCCGCAAGGAGTGGCTGGAGGACCCTCCCATGAGGAGCCTCAGGAAGCCCAGAGCTGCTGCCCCAGGCCTCAAGGGCCTCGAGGGTTGACGAGCCCCCATGTGACAGTGGCTCCCTGTCTCAGAGAGGGGTTTCAGGGTGGGATTTGCCAGCAGCCTTTGCTCTTCACCCTCCTGTGAGTAAAGAACTGGAAATCTCCAGCAGTCTGGAGTGGGGAGACCCCCGTATCCAGGTGTCAGGGCAAGGAGTGCTCCAGGTGAGGGAGTGCTCCAGCTGACGTGATGCTCCAGGTGAGGGAGTGTTCCAGGTGAGGGAGCACCCAGGTGACGTGATGCTCCGGGTGAGGGAGCACTCCAGGTGAGCGGTGCTCTGGTGATGGCATGATGCCGATGGTGAGGAATGTGGCCCTGAAGGGCAGCCATCCCCAGGGAGGATGGAGGCGGCCCGCCCTGTAAAGTGACGCCCGTGTGCCGTGGGGATGGCAGTAAGTGCCCGGGAGCCGTGGAGGACAGAAGCCAGCTGGCCACCGCGTGCAGAGGGGAGCGGAGCCTGCAGCGATTTGGGGAGCAGGCCCGCGGCACTGGTGCACACTCCTCTGAAGAGAGGTTTCTGTCGCTCAGATTCTTCCGGCCCCTGAGGGCACAACTGGCGCCTGCGGAGAACAGGAGCCCGCATGCATGAGACGAAGCCTTGCCCTCGGGTCACGCATTGCCCATGCTGTGGCCACCAGAAGGCCAGCCTGCCAGCCCGCACACCGGAGGGGACTGGGCGAGGTGGACAACACTGCCCCCTTCACCCCAAAGTCTGCAGGTGGCCTGCTCTGCCGGCCCAGCTGAGCTCCCTGCTTTGACCAGAGTGGGCACAAGGACGAAACCACGCTCCCACGGCCCCTGGCCCCCGGAGCGCCTTCACTCCAGCAGGAGCGGCCCTGCACCCCCAGCGGTCGGCGTGGCTCCCCCTCAGCTGCCCCACCTCCCAGCAGCCCCACTGGGTCCTGTTTCCCATCAAAACACGAAGAACACCAGCTGTCCTCATTTCTCCCAGATCCTCTCTCGGGGGCTTCCTTAAGGCTCTTTCCCTCATGTGAAGACCCGCCTCTGCTCTCTGACACCTGATCCCTCCCAGGAGACCCCAGGATGGGAACCATTAGCCCCCCCCCCCCCCCCCCCCCCCGTTCCCCACTCTGAGCCCTTTAGCCAGGAGGGAGCCGCACCACTGTCCCCGCTGCACCCCACCTGGGCCCGCCTCGGCCTGGTCTCTGCAAAGGGGCCCCTGCCACCTGCCTCCAGTGGCTTCAGACAGAACTCGCCACCCTCAAGACCTCAAAACCCAAACACTGGTGCACACTCCTTCCCGGATGGCCTGGCCCGTTGTCGGGTCCTCGGGGTCTCCAGGCAAGTGTCCTGTTCTCAGGAGCCACACCACCACCACCCTCCCCAGGTTACCGTCGTGTGGCCCTCTTGAACTTTCATGGCACTGGCCACTCTCTGAAATGATCTGGTGGTCACTTGTTTCTCGACTCTGCGTGGTGTGCGGGTGTCCCCACTGAGGGGTGTGGGGTCAGGGCCTGGCACCCAGCAGGTGCGCTGGAGATGCGAGGGCCCCGAGGGTGACGAGCAGAGGCCTGGAGGGGGACGGTTGGGCCGTCCTGTCCCCCGTAGGTGGCACCCAAAGGTCGGGACGCGCGGGACTCGGGGCCCCGTTCCCACCGGACCGCGCGCCCCCAGCCGGTCGCGGGCGCCAAAGAGCTGGCGGGGCCTGCGCCGCGGCACCCGGGGCCCCGCTGGGCGCGCTCCCGGCCCTCCCGCCCCTCTCCCGTCCCCCTCCAGCGGCCCTCCCGCCACCCCGGCCAGGCGCCCTCCGCCGCGCCCCGCCCGCCGCGGGGTGGTGGTTGCGCGGGCGCCCGCGGCGCAGGGACGGGGGTGCTGCGGGCGGGAGCGCGCCGTGCGCGCGGCGGGGCGCGGCGGGCGGGGCGGGGCTGGGCATCCTCGGCGCCCCCGCCCGGGCTGGCCACGCCGATTGGCTCCCGGCGCCGGGAGCGCGCGAGGGCGCGGCGCGTCGAGCCGGGCGGGGGGCGCGCGCGGCGCCGCCGGCGGCCGCGGAGGAGCGCGGGGAGGAGGGCGAGGGGAGGGAGGAGGTGCCCGCCGGGCTCCCTGCAAAGCGGCCTTATTTATCGGGGCACTGCCTCGGCCTCCCCGGTGGGGGGCTCGGGGCGGCCGATCCTCTCCCACCGGGGAGCTCCTCTCCGGGCGCGGCCGCGGGGGCCGGCCAGGCCGGGGCGCGGGGCGCGGGAGGGCCCTGCCGGGCCAGCCAGCACCCCGCCGCCGCCCCGCTCCGCCAGCGCCCATGCCGGGCTCCCCATGACGAGAAGACGCCCGGCGGACGGCGTGGCATGAGCCAGGTGCCCGGGCCGAGGTAAGGCGTGCGCACCGGACCAGGCTGCGCGGGGACGGGGCCAGGCCACGCCATCGCGGCGGCCACAATGAAGACGGGGAGGGGGCTTGGGGAGGGCACGCAGCAGCCCCGGGGGCTCCCGCCGGCGCAGCCCCTTGCCAGCTGAGGCCCCCGGGCCCCTGGCCGAGACAGGCCCTCCCACGGACCCGGATCGCAGCGCCGCCCGGTTGCAGCGCGCTCCCCGCAGCAGCTGGACCAGGGCTGACCAGCCCTGGGGAGGTGGACTCGCAGGCCCCCAGCTCACCAGGCTGGGGGGGGGGGCCAGGCTTCTTTGCAGCTCTGAGCTCCCCTCCGCAACGTCAGCAGGCCCTGGGCCTATGAGACAGGTGTTAGATGCGGTTTCCCCCTGGGAGGAGCCAGGTGGACGCGTGGCTGGGGGCTGCTCTGACCTGGACACCTGGGTCTGTGTGGAGCGGCCACAGCAGGACGAGGAGAGGAAAGGGGGAGGCTGGCCATGTGCCTGGCTCTGGAGGAGGGGCCGGCCCTGGCCAAGGTTGGAGAGCCTCAGAAGGGGAAATGGGCACCCTGAGGCTTGCTGGGGAGGGGTCTGGCCTCCCGGGATTCCGGGGGAAGACAGCCCCCACCCGTCACCCCAAAAGGAAAGAAGGCCTAGCTGTTGCAGCCTCAGGGAGCCCATGGCCCAGTGGCCACTCCTCTAGCCCCTCCCGGCCTCTGCACAGGAAGCCTTCTCTCCAAAGAGAGAGCAGATGGCGGATGCCGCTTCACCTGCCCACTCGGCCAGTCCCCTCCCGCTCCCCGCCACCTCCCAGGCCCCTTCCCTCAGCCAACCCCTGTGAGCAGAGGCCTGATAGACACTTGCTGGCCTGGTAGGAAGTGGCCACGGGGCTGGACCAGGAGCTGTGGGGAGCAGAGGGAGATCCAAACCCGAGTCGTAAACGTGGGCAGTGCAGGGTGGGCTGTTCGGGTCTCAGGGGACCCCGGGACTCAGCTGCCCTCCGTCTCCACAACTCGGCCCCCTGTTTCCTTGGCCACCTCTCACTTGGGCTAGGCAGGTCTCTAAGTGCCTGCAATGCCGGGCAGGCTCACTGGACAGGTGCTACCTTCCAGTGCACGCTCACCTCCAGGGCACTTCGGGGAGTCCTATCTCCTAAAGGAATGAGAAAACAAGTAGCCCTGGGGGAGGGGGGACCTGGGGCCATCAAGACTGCTGGCCACGGGCCCAGGAAGCCTGTGCTGCCGAGAGCCAGGGACACCTCTCACCCCAAGGTGGGACACAGCTCAGCTGCAGTCTTGTCACACGTGGGTGCTCGCTGCTGTGTCTCAGAGGGGAAGAGTGGAGGGAGAGTGGAGGTGGCAGTGAAGGAAGGCTCTGTGGGTTAGTGGGTGGTTCAGCACCTTCCCCACCACAGATGAGGAACCTTAGCAAGGCCGGCTCAGAGGGTGGGCTTGGGCCACACCGCCTCACTTGGCAGTGAAGGAGGGCGGTTGAGGCAGCCACCCAAAGAAGCAGGCACTAGATGCACCCAGTCTAGGCACTGGGGGGGGCTCAGATCCTTCAAAGTAGAAGAGCCCAAGCCCATTCCCCAAACCACACAGCCCCGCATGGCTGAGCTGCCCTGTGCTTGACCTCAGGACTTGATCTGATGAAGCACCAATTCTGGGCTCTTCCAAGGCCACGTGCTCACTTCCTGGAGCCCCTGGTGCATGGGTGGGGCAGCCTGCACCCCAGAAGCATCTCTGAGCTGGGGGCGGGAAGGGATATGAATGTGCCTGAGTCACGGGGCTTGTCATGGAGTTTGTCAGCCTGCACTGTGTCCTCAATCCAGGCTACCCTGGTTGTCACCCCAGTCCCTGGGGCCGTCACTGCAGATCAACCTGGTGCAAATTTTTCTGACTACCCACGCCCTGCCCAGTTCCACGGCCCTCACGGCCCTCAGTGGGCAGGGAGACGCGTTCAGTGCAGGTTCTACTGGGGCCAGACCCATCCAGCGTTCAGGGTGGGCTGTGCCAGACAGAGCATCAGAGATGAAGGAAGAGATGTCTGGCTTGGGAGCCGTGAGGAATGGGGGTTTCCTAGGCATGAGCAGTCCAAAAAAAGAGTGTCCTGGTGGTGGACATGCAGCTTGCAGCCCTGGAGTAGAAGCAGGAGTCTGACAGGAACAAGGCTGGGACAGACCACCAACCCAAGGAGGACACAGGGCGCTGAAGAAGCAGAACAGGGCACAGAAAGGAGGCCACAGGAAGCGCACTCGGCCAGTGACAGGCTGGCTGGAGGCCCAGGATGGCTCTCTGGACCTCAGTGCCTAGTCTGGTCTTTGGGAGTCAGACAGACTGGGCGTCCTGGGGTCAAATACCAACTCTGTGCAACTTCTGAAAATTTAGTCTCTGACTCTCACTTTCCCCACCTGTGGTTAGGAAGTGTGGGAAGGGCTTGGCTCAGGAGTAGGGGAGTGGTTCTGGGAAGAGCAGGGCAGGACCAGCTCCCCCCTCCCTTCTGGTGGCTCCTGTCCCCTCCTTGGATGTGGCCAGATTAGGGGGCAGCCAGCCTCCTTAACCCTGCAACTCCTGAAGTGGGGACTCAGCTAACGAGGAGGTGTAAGCCATCCTCTTCCCAAGAGTCTGAATAATTGCAAGGCCTACCCCAAGCCCCAGGTATTTGGGAGCCTTCTCAGGGACGGTGGCACCAACCCAACCCCAGTAGCCGTCTCCACCTCCCCTGTGGGCCGTGGCCTCTGTCACAACCAAAATCACCAAACTGAGCTATACTTCCCCTACCATCCACCTGCCCTCTTCTTAACCTGGCCTGTCCTCTGCCAAGCCTCCTGGGCATCTGGCAGCCACACTCCTTTCCACATGACCCTGCTGACTGCCAGTCCTCATTCATTCATTCAGCAAGCACACAGAGGCCACTCAGCCATGGTTCTGCCTGTCTTCCAGAACTCCCCAGCCAGCCAAGGGAGGAGATAGAGGGCTGGGCAGTAATGACTGCGACCCTGGAGATGCTTTTCTCAGGGCTGGGGAGCCCCACAGTGGGAGACAGGGCTGGTGCTGAAGGGCGGAGAAGGAGCTGGCAGGGGCAAGCAGCAGGAAGGCCTCTTGAGCCAACAGGGGAGAGGGAGGAGGACTACAGAATGGGGGGCCTGGCTGGACTGTAGGCCCAAGGCTGGGGAGGAGCCAGAGGTGAGGCTGTAAGGTAGACGTGCCAGGTGTCAGGACTCGGTGACTTGATGGCCAAAGAGGCAGCTCCTTTCAAAGCCCCAGCATGGACACCTGCAGACTGTCAGCCTGGAAGCCACCAAGTTCTGGAGTCCTCCCAGGAGACTTGAGCCCACGCAGCCTATCCCAGGAGGACCTCCTCCAGAATTCCGCTCCACACGGAGGCAAAACACACCAGGGCTGAAGCTGAGAATAGTGCAAGTTTGGCCATCTTTTTAAAACGCCTCTTTCCCTCGCATTAGCTCCTGGAGCTGATTCCTGAAGGAGGAGTTAGTCCACATCGGGTTGGCAGCTGCCCCTGCCCTGCCCTAGCGAGAAACTTCAGGCAGGTTTTCTGAGCCCTGCTGGGGGCAGTGGGGGCAGTAGCAAGCACAGGAGGGTTGGGGGCTCAGAGCCCTTCTGGTTGGGTGGGTGGGTCTAGGCGGAGGGGCACTTGCCCAGCACCCCCAAGAGACCTCTCGCCTAATTGACAGAAAGACCCATCCCTGGGCCAAGGGTGTGGCTGTTTTCAGGTTCTGAGCCGATGAGCGGGGATTGCCAGGCTGGGGCTGGAGCGGGCCGAGGGAGCCCAGCAGGACCATGGACAAGGCCAGGGAGCAGCGCAGCCCTGCTGCACAGCAGAAGGGCCGCTGGCCAAGGGTGTGGGTGCGGGATCAAGGACAGCCAGGCCCCCCACACTCCCCGGGCCGAGGCCCTGGTCCGCCTGGCCCCTCCTCCCATGGGCTCTCGCCACCCGCTGGCTTGTTTCCACCAGCTCCACCCTGAGGCCCAAGAGTGGGACTGGGACTGTGGGCGTGTGCAAATGTGAGCTCTGCAGGGGTGGGGGTAGCGAGCCCCACAGATGCCCGGGGCATCCACGTGCACCCCCCCACCCCCAGCGCAGGCGCTCCACGTGCACACCCGTGGCTGGGAGCGTCTTTAACCTAAATCGGCACAGCTCTTGAGTTATTTCTCCCCTGCTGCCACCTCCGCAGCCTCCTCCGGATCTTGGCGGGGAGGGCGGCTTCTCGACCCGCCCCGTCGCCTGCAGCGCCTGTCCCCGCCTAGCCGGTTCGCGGGGCGCCCCACCTCAACCCACCCCCCGCCGTGTCCCGGTGCAGCCGCGGGCCGCCCTGATCTCGCGCACGGAGCAGAGGGGCGCTGTCCATGGTGCTGCGCTCCAGGCCGAGCCGGATTCGGGCTGGGGCTGCCTCTCCCCTGCTCCTGGGAGTCGGGGCCAGTCGTAACTTCCTCCTGTCCCTCCAGGCGGCACTGCTGGTCCACGATGGTCTCCTCACCTACTAGTTTTAAAAGATCTGGGGCAGCCCTCGTGTCAGGCTGCCCACCGCGCCCCCCCATCCGCCACTGTGGGTGAACTCTAACTCCTTCAAGCCTCAGGCTGCTAATCTGAAAGTGGGGTTCACAGTGGTGCCCACGCCGCCAGCACACTCGGGGCTGACGTGAGCCTGGAGCGCATGACTATCCCAGTGGGCATTCGGCAAACGTTGTTACGAATGTCATGCTTCAGCCAGCGTGAGGCTGCTACTATCTGGTCATGAGCTGCTTTAAAGGGACAGCCGAAGTGGGGGCAGTGTCCTCTGAGGGCTGTCCCACGTGGAGTGCCAGCGTGAGGCTCACGGCTGCCAGGGCAGGAAGGCCTCTGGACCCAAAGCTGGGTTGGCAGCCACAAGGGTCACGTGTTCCCACAGACCCCCTCCCCCGGTGTGGAGTGCCAGCCTGGTCCATGGCGCGGAAGTCGGTGGGGGGCACGGTGCTGGGTAGAGCAGAGCAGGGCAGGGCAGCCCGCCTCCCTCCTCCCAGTGGCCCCGACCTTCACCTAAGGCCGGCCATGGGCTCAGAAGCAACCTCCATGCCACTTTCCAAATGCTCATGTGAGACAGGCACCATGCTTAACCCCTTCCCAGGTCGTCCTGTGGGGGTGTATCATCCCTTCTCAGGCTTCAGAGTCAGGAAAAATGAGGCTCGCAGAAAGGCGGTGGATCGCGGAGGCCACAGAGCCAGGGCGTGTGACCCTGGGGCCTGTGTGACTGATCCACTGGGTGCACTGCCTTTCTGCTGGCTGTCTGGAGTGGGGGTGGACAGGAGAAGATGTGAATGTGGAGCAGATGGTGGCACTGTGAGGGTCCCGCTCCCCCCCTCCAGGGCTGTCTATACTCAAAGCCGTCTGCCATCCATTCACAGCCTCAGAGGCCCGACCAGGGGTGCGGGGGGTGGGCTCAGTCCCACCTTGTGAGGAACCCCCTACAAATAGGCCTCCATAGCTAGCTCTGGTCCAAGTCTCAGCTCCACCACTTCCTGTGCTCTTGGGCAAACAGTTCATGCTGCTTTGTCTTCCTCACCTGTACAATGGGCACAGTCATCACAACATCATCGTCCACGGATGGGTTGGACGGAGGATTAAAGAGACAGTACATGTCCAGGACTCACTGTGCCGGCATCATAGTAAACTCTGCCCTTTCTTTGGGCAGATTGTGAACCATGAAATGTCTAGTAGCCACTGGGATTCTCAGGGGCTGGTATGTGAGCTCAGACAGGGTACTGGAACCACTGCAGAGAGCCAGGATGGCATCCCATAGTGGAGGGGCCAGAGACCACCCCAAACCATCTCCCTCGGCTTTCCAGTCCCTGCTCAGGAGAGGTAAGCCTGGCAGGCACTGATGGTGGACAGTGGGGTCGTAAAGGTGAGGGGAGCACTCACAAGCGAGTGTCTGTCTCTGCCTGCCTCTCCTCTCTCATCTCTAAAATGGGAACCATAGGACCCAGGTGTCGAAACGATCTGTGGGGACAGGCTGAGCCCAGTGCACACAGCTCAGGCAGTGTCATGGGCATGAACAGCCCTGGTCTCCTGTTGCTCACTCAGGGAAGGAGTGGAGTGGACTTGTGTCCTTTCTGTTGGGTGGCTCTGGGAGTGCCACGGGAGGAGATGCCCTGGGGTGGGAAGGAGCCCAGCTCTGTTCCCGCAGCAGACTCATTACTCCCTCCTGGACCCTGTCTGCAGATCGAGCGAGGAAGATGTCGAGCCCGGGTGTGGACGGCGACCCCAAGCCTCCATGCTTGCCTCGCAATGGCCTGGTAAAGCTGCCGGGCCAGCCCAACGGCCTGGGTGCAGCCAGTATCACCAAGGGCACGCCAGCTGCCAAGAACCGCCCCTGCCAGCCACCTCCCCCGCCCACCCTCCCACCGCCCAGCCTGGCTGCCCCACTGCCACGGGCTGCCCTGGCTGGGGGCCTGTGCCCCCCAGCGGGGCTCCCCCTTGGTGGACCAGCCTCAGCCCCAGTTCCCGGGCCCCCGGTGGAGCGGCCACCATTGGCCACAGATGAAAAGATCCTCAATGGCCTCTTCTGGTACTTCTCAGCCTGTGAGAAGTGTGTGCTGGCCCAGGTGTGCAAGGCCTGGCGGCGTGTGCTGTACCAGCCCAAGTTCTGGGCGGGCCTTACACCTGTGCTGCATGCCAAGGAGCTCTACAATGTGCTGCCCGGTGGCGAGAAGGAGTTTGTGAACCTGCAGGGCTTCGCTGCGCGCGGCTTTGAGGGCTTCTGCCTGGTTGGCGTCTCCGACCTGGACATCTGTGAGTTCATCGACAACTACGCCCTCTCTAAGAAGGGGGTCAAGGCCATGAGCCTCAAGCGCTCCACCATCACTGATGCCGGCCTGGAGGTGCGCCCCACCGTTGGCCTGGAAGGGACGGGGGCGGGGGGCAGGGCTAAGCAGCTGCAACTGAGCTGGTTGGGGGGGGGCTCGGAGGGAACCTGGGCAGATGAGGTGCAAAGTAGCTGAGGGAAGCACTGGTGCCCTGAGGATCATGGCTCTGGGGTGAGGGGAAGCAGGGCCGCTCAGGTAATTTGGGGGACCCAGTCCAAAGTGAAAGTTCATGTCCCTTGTTCAAAGATGATTAAGAATTTCAAGACAGCAACATCAAAGCCATCAATCAAATGGGAGGCTCTTCCAAGCTCAGGGCCCTACCTGCCCATGAGGGCAGCCTCGGGTGGGGAGGGTGCCGCAGGGGCAGGTGCACAGGTCAGAGGAGCAGCGGTGGGGGCAGCCCCCTCCCCAGGGCGAGGACTCTAAGCATCAGTCATTACCGCCAACTGCTCCCAAGCACCTGCTGGTGGGGAGGCCCCAAGCTCCCAGGTCTTCTGTGGTCTCTTAGAACGTCGCTGCAATGTGACGAACCTGTTGTCAAGTGCACTTGTCACAGGGCAGCCTGATGCGTGTTTTACACACGTCTACATTTGAGAACACTGCTTCCTGCCCCTCAGTGTGCTCCTTCCACCCTCTATCCTGCCATCCTCACCACGCCCTGCCGCCTGCCCGCCTGCAGGTGATGCTGGAGCAGATGCAGGGCGTCGTGCGCCTCGAGCTGTCGGGCTGCAACGACTTCACCGAGGCAGGGCTGTGGTCCAGCCTGAGCGCGCGCATCACTTCGCTGAGCGTCAGCGACTGCATCAACGTGGCCGATGATGCCATTGCGGCCATCTCGCAGCTGCTGCCCAACCTGGCCGAGCTGAGCTTGCAGGCGTACCACGTGACGGACACGGCGCTGGCCTACTTCACGGCCCGCCAGGGCCACAGCACGCACACGCTGCGCCTGCTCTCCTGCTGGGAGATCACCAACCACGGTGTGGTCAACGTGGTGCACAGCCTGCCCAACCTCACTGCGCTCAGCCTCTCTGGCTGCTCCAAGGTCACAGACGATGGCGTCGAGCTCGTGGCTGAAAACCTGCGCAAGCTGCGCAGCCTCGACCTTTCGTGGTGCCCGCGCATCACTGACATGGCGCTGGAGTACGTGGCCTGCGACCTGCACCGCCTGGAGGAGCTGGTGCTGGACAGGTGCACGCGCTCCCCACACACAGGGGAGTGGAGGGCAGGACCCGGGGGGCGAGGCAGGCGAGACCTTCTAGAGGAGTGCACAGACCTGCAGCCAGAGTGGTGTGGCGGTGCCGTGGTGGGAGGGTGGCCCCATACACCCGGGATGGGCTGGGACAGGGGCGGTGGGGCTGTTGTGAGAGCGCAGGAGGGGGGTTTGGGCTGCGACCCCGGGGGAGGGGCAGCTGGGGGGTGAGGACAGGTGCGAGCTGGCGGGGCAGGCCTTCTGACAATGGGCAGCGCCCCTGTGTTGTCCCCTGCAGGTGTGTGCGCATCACGGACACTGGCCTCAGCTATTTGTCCACCATGTCGTCCCTCCGCAGCCTCTACCTGCGATGGTGCTGCCAGGTACCGGCCCTGCCCACGCGTAGGCCAGGGGAGGCGGGGACCTCGGGGAGGGGCCCGGGCCGACCCGGCCACCTCAGGCCTGGTGAGGAAGCCCGGGATCCGTGCACACCCGGCGGGCGACTCCCCGGGTGCTCTCCGCCGCTCCCTTGCGGCCGGCCGACTCCTGGGGAGGCCAAGAACCCCTGCCCCTCTGGCAGCTCCAGGCCGCCAGCCCCAGCAGCGGCTCCCCAGGGTCGTTAACCCCCCGCCCCCCGCAGGTGCAAGACTTCGGGCTGAAGCACCTCCTGGCCATGAGGAGTTTGCGCCTCTTGTCTCTGGCAGGTGAGACCCCCACGCCCCCTCCGGCGCCGCTGCGCTGGGGCCGAGTTTGGGTCCCCCGCGGCGCCCTCGGGTGGGGGTGCCCGCGCTCAGCCACCGCCCGCCTGCCCCTGCTGCAGGCTGCCCGCTGCTGACCACCACGGGGCTGTCGGGCCTGGTGCAGCTGCAGGAGCTGGAGGAGCTGGAGCTGACCAACTGCCCCGGGGCCACTCCCGAGCTCTTCAAGTACTTCTCGCAGCACCTGCCCCGCTGCCTTGTCATCGAGTAGCGCGGCCCCTGCCCTCCCCAGGAAGCCGCTGCAGCGGGCTCGCCTTCTCCCAGCCCTGCCCTCAGGGGGGCCCTCTGCGCGCAGCCCCGCCAGGCCGGCCACCCAGCGCGAGCCCACCCCGTGCCCCTCCTGGCCCCGCCACATGGGGGATGGCGGGCGGGCCCAGCCCCACGCACGCCGCACACTTGGGGACTCCGTGCATGCCCCTCGCGCCCGCACTGCACGCCCGCCCTCCACCGCACCACAGCCGCCTCCATCTGTCGTCCACTCGCCGGGAGCTAGGGGGCCCGGCTCGGCCCCGGGGGGGTGCTCTGAGCTCTCCGGCGGCCACCCCGCTGCCTTCTCCGCCGCACCGCGCTCTGTCTCCTCGCTGTCCCCCCATCTCGGGCAGGGCCCAGAGGGACCGAGGGGAGCCGGGCCCCCCAGGACACAGGGGCCCGAAGAGCCCCAAGGGCTTCCCGCATTTTCCACACCTGCCGCCCTCGGAGGGGTGCGAGGGGGAACAGGCCCCGCCAAAGCCATGGCCCGCCAAGGAGCCCAAGTCCCACCCACCCCTGCCCCACCTCATGCCAGCCTGATCCCATGGCCCTCCCCTTGTCCCGGCAGTTGTAGGAGGCGGTCCCCGCTCGCCTCGCCCCCAGCTGCAGGCCCACAGACCCTTGGCCAGGCCAGGGGACAACCGCGTTGGCGGGAGGGACACACTGGCTGACCGGTTTGGGTACACTCGACATGGCCCAAGCGGGCTGTGGCGTTGGGGCCACCCTGGTGGGGGGGCTGGGCATACCACTGCCTCCAGAGACCCCAAGCTGGAGCGACCCAGGCCCTGTAGACAGTCCCGAGGGGACCCCACAGCACAGCCCCGCAGCCGGCTGGGCCAGCCTGCCGAGTGCCACACGGTACCCGGGTAGGCCTGTCAGGGGCAGCCGGGAAGGTGGGCCCCGGCCAGGGCTCGGGACCTGTGCCCCCCAGCAACTCCAGCACCCCGAGGAGGGAGCGCCCACCCCCTCCCCAGCTCCCCAGCCCTCTGCCTGCCCACGTGGGCTCTGGCTGTGTTCCGTCCAATCCCAAGACATACGGAAGTCCTGGGGGATGCTGGCACAGCTTGGCAACTGCTGAGGAGGGGGCTGGGACCCCTTTCCATCCCCACCTTGAGCCCCAGGAAGTACAGTGCCCACACCCAATCTTGGGACCCCCCCCATATGGTTGGAAGAAAGTAACCAGTTTCCAGAGAGCCAGAGAGTGAGAGAGCGAGCGAGAGCGTGAGAGCACGAGCGAGCGAGCGAGAGATGCTGTTGAAGCGGACGTGGTTCAGCAGCCCAAAGATTTCCACGCCCCGGCGTGCCCGCGGGGGCTGCGGGGCTGAGGGTCAGAGCCAGTTTCTTCAGCGCCTTCTCCTCACGTCTCCCTAGCAGGAGGAGGCAGCTGTCCATTTGTCCAAAGTATTAATGCAACTGAAGCTGTGATATTTCCAACGACTGTAGGAGGAAAAATTAAGGGGAGAGAGGAAAACAAACAAAACCAACCAACCCCTAAAATCATTTTCTTATTGTACATAATGACCTCATTCTCCTGTATATGCGGAAGATATAACCTTATATTTGGTAAGTGTTTCTTGTGCTATTTTATCACGTGACCTGTTTATAAAAATATATATTAAAAAAGTTGTAAAAACACGCGTCTGAGTTGGTTTTAGGTCATCACACCATGGGGGGGGAATCCCTGCCCTGAGAGTCCTGTGCACCTCAGAGCTCAGCAGACCTACTGGTTCCCTCCCCCACAGAGGCGGGGGCTGCCTACCCAACTGGAACCAGCAGTGACCGACACCGAAGGTCCCTGACCCTCCACTGCTTATGGGGACGCAGATGATACTAAAGTCATCCATGTAACGTTAACCTCCGGGGCCTGGGGAACCCAGTCAGTGAAGTGTGTGCCTCTGGCTCAGGCCATGGTCCCGAGGTCCTGGGCTCCAGCTGGTAGCCTGCTTCCCCCTGCCCCCCCCCGCCCCCGCTTGTGCACACCTGCTCTCTCTCAAGTAAATCAAGTCTTTAAAAACAAAAGTCTTCGAGCAACGCCATCTAGGATCTAGCCGACCCTCCAGAAGGGTGAGGATGGGTGCTGTCAGTGCGACGGGGACAGCCTGGGTGAGCAGCAGGGACGCCCTAACCTCCTAACGCACAGCGAGGACAGGCCAAGGACAGACAGGCGGAGGATGGACAGGCGGAGGACAGAGGGCAGAGGACAGAGTGAGGACAGGCGGAGGACAGACAGGCGGAGGACAGACAGGCGGAGGACGGACAGGCCGGGGACAGACAGGCGGAGGACGGACAGGTGAGGACGGACAGGCCGGGCACAGACAGGCGGAGGACGCACAGGCGGAGGACGGACAGGCCGGGGATGGACAGGCGGAGGACGGACAGGCGGAGAACGGACAGAGTGAGGACAGGCGGAAGATGGACAGGTGGAGGATGGACAGGCGGAGGACGGACAGGCTGAGGACGGACAGAGTGAGGATAGGTGGAGGACACACAGGCAGAGGACGGACAGGCCAAGGACAGAGAGAGTGAGGACAGGTGGAGGACAGACAGGCGGAGGACGGACAGACGGAGGACGGACAGGCCGAGGACGGAGAGTGAGGACAGGCGGAGGACGGACAGGCAGAGGATGGACAGGCCAGGGACGGACAGGCGGGGACGGACAGGCGGAGGACGGACAGGCGGAGGATGGACAGGCCAGGGACGGACGGACCGAGTACGGACAGGCTGAGGACGGACAGTCGAAGGACAGACAGGCAGAGGACAGACAGGCCGGGGACAGACAGGTGGGGACAGACAGGCGGAGGATGGCCAGGCGGAGGACGGACAGGCCAGGGACGGACAGGCCGGGGACGCACAGGCGGGGACGGACAGGCGGAGGACGGACAGGCGGGGACGGACAGGCGGAGGACGGACAGGCGGGGACGGACAGTCGGAGGACGGACAGGCGGAGGACGGACAGTCAGAGGACGTACAGGCGGGGACGGACAGGCGGAGGACGGACAGGCCAGGGACGGACGGACAGGCGGAGGACAGACAGGCCGGGGACGGACAGGCGGAGGACGGACAGGCGGGGACGGACAGGCCGGGGACGGACGGACAGGCGGGGACGGACAGGCGGAGGACGGACAGGCGGGGACGGACAGGCGGGGACAGAGGACGGACAGGCGGAGGATGGACAGGCGGAGGACGGACAGGCGGGGACGGACAGGCGGGGACGGACAGGCGGAGGACGGACAGGCGGAGGACGGACAGGCGGGGACGGACAGGTGGAGGACGGACAGGCCAGGGACGGTCAGGCCGAGGACGGACAGGCGGGGACGGACAGGCGGAGGACGGACAGGCCGGGGACGGACAGGCGGAGGACGGACAGTCAGAGGACGTACAGGCGGAGGACGGACAGGCGGAGGACGGACAGGCGGACGGCGGGGACGGACAGTCAGAGGACGTACAGGCGGAGGACGGACAGGCGGAGGACGGACAGGCGGGGACGGACAGGCGGAGGACGGACAGGCGGAGGACGGACAGGCGGGGATGGACAGGTGGAGGACGGACAGGCCAGGGACGGACAGGCCGAGGACGGACAGGCGGGGACGGACAGGCCAGGGACGGACAGGCCGGGGACGGACAGGCCGGGGACGGACAGGCCGAGGACGGACAGGCGGGAACAGACAGGCGGGGACGGACAGGCGGAGGACGGACAGGCGGAGGACGGACAGAGGACGGACAGGCGGAGGACGGACAGGCGGGGACGGACAGGCGGAGGACGGACAGGCGGAGGACGGACAGGCGGAGGACGGACAGGCGGGGACGGACAGTCAGAGGACGTACAGGCGGAGGACGGACAGGCGGAGGACGGACAGGCGGGGACGGACAGGCGGAGGACGGACAGGCGGAGGACGGACAGGCGGGGATGGACAGGTGGAGGACGGACAGGCCAGGGACGGACAGGCCGAGGACGGACAGGCCAGGGACGGACAGGCCGGGGACGGACAGGCCGAGGACGGACAGGCGGGGACGGACAGGCGGGGACGGACAGGCGGAGGACGGACAGGCGGAGGACGGACAGTCAGAGGACGTACAGGCGGAGGACAGACAGGCCGGGGACGGACAGGCGGAGGACGGACAGTCAGAGGACAGACAGGCGGAGGACGGACAGTCAGAGGACGTACAGGCGGAGGACGGACAGGCCGGGGACGGACAGGCGGGGACGGACAGGCGGAGGACGGACAGGCGGGGACGGACAGGCGGAGGACGGACAGGCGGAGGATGGACAGGCCAGGGACGGACGGACCGAGTACGGACAGGCTGAGGACGGACAGTCGAAGGACAGACAGGCAGAGGACAGACAGACCGGGGACAGACAGGTGGGGACAGACAGGCGGAGGATGGCCAGGCGGAGGACGGACAGGCCAGGGACGGACAGGCCGGGGACGCACAGGCGGGGACGGACAGGCGGAGGACGGACAGGCGGGGACGGACAGGCGGGGACGGACAGTCAGAGGACGGACAGGCGGAGGACGGACAGGCGGGGACGGACAGGCGGAGGACGGACAGTCAGAGGACGTACAGGCGGGGACGGACAGGCGGAGGACGGACAGGCCAGGGACGGACGGACAGGCGGAGGACAGACAGGCCGGGGACGGACAGGCGGAGGACGGACAGGCGGGGACGGACAGGCCGGGGACGGACGGACAGGCGGGGACGGACAGGCGGAGGACGGACAGGCGGAGGACGGACAGGCGGGGACGGACAGGCGGGGACAGAGGACGGACAGGCGGAGGACGGACAGGCCAGGGACGGACAGGCCGGGACGGACAGGCCGAGGACGGACAGGCGGGGACGGACAGGCGGAGGACGGACAGGCGGAGGACGGACAGTCAGAGGACGTACAGGCGGAGGACGGACAGGCCGGGGACGGACAGGCGGAGGATGGACAGTCAGAGGACGTACAGGCGGAGGACGGACAGGCGGAGGACGGAC